ACATCTTTTCGTCTTGCTCCAGAGACCTAAAGGGCAAGGAAATAAAGGTGAGTTTGGTTATTTTGTTTTTCAGATTGTTGCCTTGATGTTTTTAAACTTCCAGCTTCTTCGCTCTCTTTCTCTCTCTCTCTCTCTCTCTCTCTCTCTCTCTCTCTCTCTCTTTCTTTTCTAATAAAGGTTAGAAAAACATGCATCGCAGCTAGGACAGCCAACATTTACCGAAGCGCTTAAAGAACAAACCAGCTGTCTTCATGGTATCTCAATTAACGTAATGGCATTTCTTTAGTTTTCTGTTTTTGTTACATAACTTAGGTCACAGAATTTTCTACATTTGTGGGTAGTTAAGTACGTTTTTAAAGTGAACATTCTGTTCGAAGTGTCTGGATTACATTTAAACTTGGAATTCACATGGCGTTCTATGCCACATTAATGAAAATTGTGCGGTCAGTCAGTGAAGTTGCTTGCAAGGAGGCAACAACAGTACAGAACTCCTAACAGCAAGTATGTAATCTTACAGTATAACTGATTGCAAGGTGTGTCCCAATCTGGTGTCTTACAAAAGCCTGAGAAGGAAATTATTTGTGCAGTTATTGTTAGTATTATATGATTTGCTATTTAAAAACTACCATTAAAAGTAAGGCATTTAAAATATTTAGTTTGTATTTACGCCTGTGGATCTAAGTAGTCAGCTGATTGAAACATTATGACATAAATCATGTGATATTAGTGCAGAACAGTAACTCCTTTCTTGGGGTGGTGCCAATTAAAGAAAATTACAATGAACTATATAATTATAACGTTTTGTAGTGCTGGAAGTGACACTCAATACAACTACACTTCCTGTTTTTCTCCCCAGTAACCATGTACTGCTTAGAAAAGAAGATCTATAATAGCTCTTTAGGTGGAAGTTTCATGTTTCTAATGACTCAATTTTTTTCTGCGTTTTTATGTTGCAATGCTGGTCAATTAAAAAATAAATGTGCTCTTGACAAAATAATTTCCTTCGTGTTGTGCTACATTTTATGTAAGAATTTGTATATACCAAATGCATTGTAGTGTGTTAGGTAACAAACTTACTGCTGCTTTGTTTTAATTAATGATGTTTTCTTTCAGCATATACATTTAGGAATTTTTAGTTTATAGAATTGGTTATAGTTATAAACTTCAGAATTAGAGGGTAGTTTAAAATTAGCTATTAGACATTTGTAAATTTAAAAGGACTTTGTTTTGGCTAATCTGACCACCTGTGAAACTTGTGGTTATTACTTCTAGTATAAACTATTGTGTGCTAAACTATGGGGAGTAGCACTTTGCAAGGCTATTTAAAGTGCTAAGTGTTTTGTATTGCATGTTTAAAGGTAAGTGATTTCTGTGAAGTTCTTTTTTGATTAAAAAAAAAAATTGACCATTTACATTGGGTATTGTAAGCTTGTCCTGTATTGCCACAAGCTTGATTTACTCAAGAATCTCTTCATTTTAGTATGGCTTAGTGACCTCTCTGTTGTTATATATCACTTAACTTATACATCACCTTACAGATAGATGCTAGCCACAAACTGCATCACCTGGTGACTACATTTTTTAGATGAGAATTTTTAATTATTAGTATCATTTCTGATTTAATATTTAGATACACATACGAATTGTGTTTTTTGGATAGTTTTTATTCTCCCAGTTTTTCTTTTATTTTTGTTCAGTTTATAATTTTATAATATATATTTTAGTATTATGGCCAGGATTTCTTACAGTCCTGGGTTTTAGTACCACATACAGCTATTGATTTACCAAGTATGCTGAGCACGTACTACCTTTTTGTTAAGTTTCTCTTCTATAAGCAAAAAAACAATGATTGCAAATCCTGTTGTTATTAGGATTATTGAAATTACGATAGTTTATTGCTCTACTTGCTGTTTGTTGGATTATTTTTCTTTTTTGAGGAGAAGAAATGCTACTGGTCCTTTAAAAGTGTTGGTATACTTAAAGTCATGTAAGTTGATTTAAAATGATAGAAACCATAATAAGCTTACAAATACATTACAAGCCAAGTCAAGGCTATTAGCAAATGGTAGTTAGGAGCTTTTGTGTGTTTGAGAAAAACTTCTGGCTGCTAAGGCTATATGTACTATGATCGGGCAAAAAGTATAACTATTTTTCTTACTTGATGACTTTAAAAATTTGATTAGTAATTTTGAATTCTGAGTTTAGGAACTTCATGTTCCTGTTGGGCGGTGGCTCACACCTTTAATCCCAGCACTCGGGAGGCAGAGGCAGGTGGAGCTCAGTGAGTTTAAGGCCGCCTGGTCTATAGAGTGAGTTCCAGGACAGCCAAGACTGTTACATAGAGAAACTGTCTTGAAAAAACAAAACAAACAAAAATAACAACAAAAGAGCTTCATGTTCCTAAAAGTTGGTATTAGTTAAAATTTTGAAACTAACTGACTTAATAAGATTTCTGAGATGCTATGTTTCTTTTCTGAATTGCCTTTAGCCTAACACCTGACTTTAGTGTCTACTTTTCTGTAAAGTGTTTTTAAGTCTATCCTTAAGGCTTATTGTACTAAAGGAATGAAAAGGAGTTCTGTCAGTCTGCTTGGGAAGACAAATATGCTTCTGAAATATGATTCCTAGTTTTTGGCTTACTTATTTTTATACTTAATTCTTTTTTTAACTAAAATTTTTTTCCTATGTAAAATATCAGAACTACTTGTTATACTTGGCAAGATAACACCAAAGGATAGTTAAAATTTAAGGATAATTATTTATTTTGTTGGTCCGTAATACTCTATTAACAAGAACTTTTGCTTGCTGTGTCTTCATTTGTGTGTCAGATGTCCTCTTGGGCCTTCTTCCTTCCTTTTGTCCCTTACTTTTACGTAAGTAAGCAACATGTGGAAATTGGTTTTCTTTTCCCTCCTATAGGAGGGACACCTACATCATTTTATACAACTTTAGTTTAAAAGAATTAGGTTGAAGTTGGTTGTTTGAATGTTTCAGAAAAGTATATTTTGGAAATATTATGTTGTGTCTTCTCTCTGTCCCCCCAAGAAATGATTTCAACGCACCATACTACCATTATTTTGGCTTCATATTATTATTAATCCTCACAACATTCCTGTAAGGAGATAGCGGGTATATGGTATTGTCGCTGTTTTTGTAGGTGGGAAAACATGATGCACACATCTGTTGACTTTCCTAACTTGATGTAGGCAGGACCAGAGCAGAGAATCACCTGGCTTCTAAGGCCCATGTTCTATCTTGATTTGACTTTGCTTCATAGGGCAGAGGAAACAGGCGAAGAATCATGTAAGTCATCTGTTCTTTTTTCCCCTGAAGAACTTTTACACAATGTAGAAGTGGCTTAGATTTCATTACTGTTCAGTGACTTTCAGTCTCCAAGACGTTAGATTGTCCTTAAACAATGATCAACAACTAAAATCTTATATAAAACAGTTGTTTTAAGAAAAGTATGCTTCTGAAATCAAAGGGTTAGTTGGTATCTTAGTAGGAGCCTTTAAGTGGATACTTTTTTGAGAGTAATATCAGTATGAACTAAATAACCAAGAACTAATGGATGTAAGAGAAATGATTGACTGTTTTAAATACTGTTTGATATGCATACTAGTTTGGTAGTTGAGTAGTAGGAAACATTTTTCTCTCTCTGTTGTTCTTCAAGAAGTAACAGGCTGTGCATTACCACTGTTGACAAAGAAATAGTCAAATAGTGGGGGAGCAGGTGTATCAGTCTGGGACTGCAGTGGTTACCTGGTTACCTGTGCCCTCAGTTGGCATTGGGTGTATTCTGTAGCACCTTCCATTTTGATAGTAGTCACTGTTACATATTTAGTTCTGGGCACATTTAGTTCAAGCCTAGCTCTGATGAAGTCTTTGTGAAATGCATTGAGATCTTGGAAGGGGAGTCAGGAACCATTTGATCTTTGATGTCACAGAGGTCGGCTTGGAAGGCTTCATGCTCAAAGTGGCTCTACTTTTGAGCCATCCCTGATCATTATTGGATGGAAAGAATGAAGGGATTTCACAGATCTTTGCTTATAAGCTAATGCTTGCTCACTAACAACATTACATTTTAGGTGGTGTACACTTAGGTAAAAATTAGAGTTGATTGTGTCCTGATAAACTTATCACCATGTTAGTTGGCGATACTTTGTGACAGTAGTTCTAAGAGACTTCCCTTAGAAAATGCCTTTTTTTAATTTCATGTTTCAATAACAATTGTTGATAGCATATCAAATATTATTCCAGTAACTTGTCTGTGTTGATGGTTCAGAATAATTCCTAGTTTCATATGTGGGTATTGCAGAATTTAGTATTAATAAAGATTATTGAATATGTTTATTTAATACTAAGATGAAGTGAAGTAGGCACTGAGTAACCTGAGAGTCATCAGATTAATGAACTCAAATCACTGCTGGAGTCCACCTGCCTCCTTAGTAGTAGACCTGAGATTTATTTCCAGGAGGTGGTTTTATATGCTGTACTCGGGCACTACGAGGACAGTGTCCAAACATCTTTTTTTCTTGAATACAAATACAATTTTTACAGTGTTTATGAAATAACTTTTGAACTAGTGTGACATTCTGATTTATCCCTGTTTTTTTTTTTCCTCATGTGTTTCATGAGTAATCATTGTCTTAATTGTGGTTTTTACTTTCATGTGAGAGTTTTATTTATTGTTGTTTGGATTTGAACTCAAAGCCTCAGTGCATGCTAACTTCACTTACCAGTAGTTGTTACACACACTCAGTTAGCCTTTGAGAATCAAGGCATGTGTACACACGTGTTAAGAGAGTCTTACGGATTTTAACAAGAGTGCTTGTATAGCATACACGGGCCCTGGGTTGGCATGCCCAGTATTACTAAAACCAAATCAAAACAACATAAGGCCTTTCTTTTTTAGTGAGATGGTCTTGCTACATAGCCCAGTCTGATAGGCAACTATGTATGTAGTCCATATATTTTTTTTTTACCTTGCTATCCTGTTGCTTCTGCTTCTCAAGTGCTGTGATAACCAGTATGTGGCATCAGACCTAACTCTTTCTAGATTTAATGACTTTGACTCAGACATTTAAGTGATTTACTGGAACTTTAGTCATAAATAGTTACTTGAAGGCTGTGTGTATTCCCATGGCTTCACAAGCTGAAGTAGGAGAATTGAGAATTGGAGGTGAGCCTGGGCAACCTAGGAAGACCCAGTTTTGGTAAGAAAAAAAATTTCTTACTTCTGTCAGATTAATAGACTTGTACAAAGTTGGTCACATACTCAAATATATTGTCTACGTCATTCCTTAAAAGTTATTTTAAAGTCACACCAAATTTTAGGGAGCCCTTTCCAGCATTTCTGTGTTACTTTGCTCATTACAGTGTTGAAATTACGGTATTGACAATTTTGATCTTGGGGACGTTTATAGGTGTGGCTTATGTAATTAATGTTGGTCTTATGGATCACAGGATTTCTAAATTTTTTGTGGCACATATTAAATACTTACTTCTAAAGGTTGTCCTTAAGAGGGTTCTTAAACCAGCAAGGAACTCAGGTTTATTCACTTATGTATTTATGTACTTATGTATTTATTTACTTTTTGAGTTGGCTTGAGTTTTTTTTTTTAATGTTAGATTGTGCTGTAAATTTTATAAGGATTGCAACATTTCTAATACAAATATGTTTTTTAGTTTCAGTACAAAATGGTTCGATTCATCAAAAAGATGCTGTAAATGATGATGATTTTGAGCCATACTTGAGTAGCCAGACAAATCAGGTAAGTTTTCTGCAGATTCAGATTTTAGGAAGTTAAACTTCTAACAGTTTTATTGATTTTTTTTCCCAGCTGGACATCTAATTGAATACGAGATTAATGTAATGTGAATTAGTTCATTTAGTTTGCCTACATGTGGTAAATAACACTTGTCAGTTTGTGGCATAGGAGACTACTGTTGAGATTATAGGTAACTGAATGGGGTTTTAAAATCTTTAAAGGAGTATTATTTTTATATATTATGCTTAGAATTTTTTAATATTAAGTTAGTTTAATCTTTTACTATGAAAGCTATGCCTTTTCCCTTCTTCCCTTTCTTCCTCCCTCCTTTTCTTCCTCCCTCCCTCCCTCCTTCCCTCCCTCCCTCCCTATCTCCCTCCCTCCCTTTCTTCCTTTCTTTCCCTCAAGACAAGGTTTCTCTGTGTAGCCTTGCCTCTCCTGGAAACTTGGTTCGTTGACCAGATTGGCCTTGAACTCAGAAATCCTGCCTCTGCCAAGTGCTGGGATTAAAGAAGTGCTCTACCATCTCCTGCTATAGCCTTGTATTTTTAACTAAAGCAAATTAGACTTAGCTGGAATATTGCTGGATAAGGATTTAGTTTGTGTTTTATAACTTTAGTTAAATGTATTTTCTTTAAGACATTCAAATTTGAATTTCATTAAGTTACTGCAGGTTTTAATTTGGCAGTATTAGAATAGGTTTAAGGACTTTACTACCTTTTTATTGTAGATGTGGAGATTATATATATATCATTAGTGTTCCTTCCACTCCCAATTCTGGTATTTGAATCTGATATTGTACATGCTAAGTCATGTACTACAATTAAGCTACATGCCTAGCCCCAGTAGCTTCTGAGACTTTGTTTATAAGAAAAATGCTAAGAAGCAATAAAATAATATCATTTGATATTTAGAAACGATTTTGCTGTCATGTTTATTTTGTCACTAGTAGGATAAAATTTTGAAAACAAAATTTCAGTCTTTACCGGTTCATGAGAATATTCTGGAATGGAATTTCTAGTGTTGTGCCTTTCACTTGTAAAAAGATACATACTTTACCCTAGATTACTAAAAGCGTGAGAGGAAAAGGCACAAAGTATTCCCATAGAAATGAGCAGCTGAGCAGTTACACAGTGTGAACAAGTTTCTGCTTTGTGGGATATAGTTGAGTTGTAGCTTTTAGGAGGGAAGGCTTTGTTCACCCTCATCTACTGTTGGGCATTTCTTTTCTTTCTGTTTTTTTTTTGGTTGGTTTTTCAAGACGGTTTCTCTGTGTAGCTTTGGAACCTATTCTGGCACTCTGCCCTGGAGACCAGGCTGGCCTCGAACTCACAGAGATCCGCCTGCCTCTGCCTCCCGAGCTGGGATTAAAAGCATGCGCCACCAATGCCCGGCTGGACATTTCTTTTTATCCACTTTCCTTTGTGTGTTGGCTTAGATTCTTAGCATATATATTGGAGAGGAGTAAATATGTTAGAAGGAATGCAAACAAGTGGTAGAATTTGAATGCTTGACAGGAAGGGGTAGTCTTTACACAGTGCCCACAAATGATTACCTCTAACAAGGCATGCATTTTAAGAGCAATAACAATGTAGAATGTTGGAAACTAGGTTTGTTGTATGGAAAAAAGTAGAAAATTATCCAAAATCTTAAAGGTAAGTTATATAATATTTTAAATCAAAATTTCTTAGCTGAACTATAAAATCAAAGTAACTCTAGAGTATTAACAGTTTAGTGAAAACAGTTTATTGCTGGAATATCTCAAGTAATTATGATTGACAAACTTTATAAAGTTTGTACAAATGAATTAGTTCCTTGCATGCTGATCTAACTAAAGTAGTTATTCAGTAAAAATCCAATTTGATTAAGGTTCCTTTTAAGATTTATCTTTATGTGTATGTGTGCGAATGTGTTGTGTGTGTGTACATGGGCCTTACAGAAGACATAAGAGAAGGTTGGATCCTGGGGTCCTAGAAGTTTTAAAAGCTGTGAGTTGTCTAACCTGGGTTCTGAGGCCAGAACTTGAATTCTCCAGAAAAGCAGGAAGGTTCTTACCTGCTGAGCCAGCTTTCCAGCTCTACACATTTTGCTTTTAAAATTAATCTCTTGATGTAATTTAAAAAATTATAAATAGCAAAGATGAATCATCTAATGGGAAAGGTATTTTAATACTTTCCACTGATGATTTAAATTGTTTTATACCCTTGGATCTAATTTATATCATTTAACCCTAGGATTGTGTTAAAAATGTTGACCTTACTCTGACAGCATACTTCATTTTATATTGTTTTATTTTTGAAAGAGGGAACAGATCATTGATTCCCTGTACGTCTTGAGAATAATGTGGTTGAGTCCAGGTTTCATGATTCAGCTCATCTTTTGTTAAAGATGTCATGTAACTTGCAAATGTCTTTAAAGATGAAGTTGGGCCGGGCGTTGGTGGCACATGCCTTTAATTCCAGCACTCGGGAGACAGAGGCAGGCAGATCTCTGGTTTCGAGGCCAGCCTGGTCTCCAGAGCGAGGGCCAGGATAGGCTCCAAAGCTACACAGAGAATCCCTGTCTCGAAAAACCAAAAAA